CCCGGTTGGCCAACATAAGAACAGCCTTTAGAAACTTTTGTAAGGAATCATTCAGAACTCTGTATACCACATATGTCAGACCAATCCTGGAGTATGCGGCTCCAGCATGACGTCCATATCTAGTCAATAAGTGAAATGGGTGTTTTGACTCACATACATGTAGTGTTGCATGGTTTGACTACTCTCATACATTATCTCTCTCCTCTCCACTCCCGCCTGTGCCTGAATATTTCTGATTTTGCTTCTTATTTGTCTCATTGTGAATTCACATTCAATGTCAACTTGTGGTTTTGATGTGGCACGTTTGGCCAAGTCATCCGCCACCTCGTTGAGCACTATTCAAACATGAGATGGAATCCACATGAATTTCACACTATAACCTTTCAGCTGTATCTCAGTTATTCTTCTCTTACAGTCCTCAACTATAGACATGAAGACTGGGTTTCGACTGTTTAAGGACTCCAGTGCTCCTCGGCTATCGATAAATACAAAAACATTTTTGTCGTCATGACGTACTTCCTCCAAACACGCCAGAATGGCCTGCAGTTCAGCTTGTGTGGATGATATATAATTACTAAGCCGGAGTTCAATTATCCTGTCCACAGTCCCAAACTCTGTATAATCCCTTATTAGGACACCACACCCGGCCCTGCCATCCTCCGCCACCGACCCGTCGCAATATACATGTAAACTGTTGCCTCTTGGTAACCGAGATATCATGCTTCCATACAAACACCATAATTGTCCCGGTTCATGATGAATCTTTTTCGCCTTGAGGGGTACAATTTCGACGTCTATTTTCTGTACTTTCCAGGGAGCAGACATATTACACTGTCGAGAGGGTTTACAGCAGTCAAGTACGTCGTATTCCCTGAGGTCATGAGCTAATCCCCTCGTGTAGCGTGTCTCCCTCAGTTTCCTGGAAGTGTGTACGTCACTCAAGCAGGTCTGAACGCTCTCAAACAGCTTATCCCCTCCTTTTCTCCGCATGAAACGAATAGATACTCTAGTGTTAATGTCACGGACTCTATCACACACACTCTGTAAATTTAATTCCATTCTCATTATTTCAATCATTGCATTTCTTTGACATCCAAGAATAATCCTCATAGCCTCGTTCTGTATCAGCTCTATTTTTTGAATTCTGCCTTGGCCTGTGTAAGACAAAACAGGTGCTGCGTAGTCTATCAGGGACCAAACAGTGCTTATGTATAACATCCGCAAGATAGATACCCCAACACCTTTACCAGAAAAAGCCAGTGCTTTCAGAGGATGCAGACGGGCTTTACATAAGGTGCTGATATGATTTATTTCAGCATTTTTACTCTCACATGTGTATCCAACATACATGCCCAGATACTTGTACTTCTGAACACGGCTCAGTTCCACACCATTTAGAGTAAGTGTTATATTTCTTCGTTTCCTATACTCGTATTTGGTTTTATCTGCATTTATAACTAAGCCTAACTTGTGACAGGTTGTACCAAGTATGTTAAGAGCAGTTTGAATTTTGTTCCCAGAAGTGCCTTGTATAAGAATGTCATCAGCATATATGATCGTCGTGACCCCTGGAGGATACATCTCTGATGCTAATCTGTTCATTAATACATTGAATAAGGTGGGACTTAATACTCCCCCTTGTGGGGTACCTAACTGAAACCTCCGTTCCTCAGACATGTAACCCTGGTAATACACCTGACCTTTTCTGCCTTGTAGATAATCCCTTATCCAGTGTAGCAATCTCCCTGTTATTCCCAGATTGGCTAATTCGTATAAGATTACTTCCCCATTGGCTTTATCAAATGCTCCTTGTAGATCAACAAAAACTCTACAATTGTCATCCACATTAGACAAACACTTTAAGAGACAATCCGCAGTACTTTTGCCTTTGATAAAACCAAAGAGATTACTGGACATGTTATCACCTACAAGGTAGAGAAGCCTATTTAACAAAATCCTTTCCATCATTTTACAAAAGCAGGATATTAAGGAGACAGGTCTGTAGCCTCCGTTAGACTTAGGGATAGGAATGATGACAGCCTCTTTCCATTTTCTTGGTAACTTTCCCTCTCTATAACTCATATTAAACAAATCAAGTAAGGGACTAGGTGTCATACCGGCTAAATAATTAAGTATGTCATACGTTACTCCATCTTTTCCCGGAGCAGTAGAGCTGCCACTTTTTATAGCATCCAGTAGCTCATCGTGAGTTATCTCAGTGCACGCTATAGATCTTGTATTTAAGGCACATAAAGTTACTCCATTTCTAATATTTTCCCATGACTCAATGGTGACTCTCGTGTCTGCAGGTAAGGACTCCATACCAGCAGCACTAGCCCATTTATCTACTAACTCATTAGCAACTTTCCCTGGATCTGAGTGAGCAATGAACTTGGTCTTACAACCCCTGATTTTGTTTACTGCTCTCCATATGTCTTTAAGGTTCTTAGTATTACCAATGGACTGAGCAGTCTTGCCAGTATCTGTCCCGCGCCTCCTTCCTCACCTGACTGCATTCCCTAGCCACTTCCAACATTGTATTTTTCTCTTCATCCCTCATTCCATATTTTAACCATTCTTTATGTGCACTCCGTAGCATTCTCTCCCACCCCTTGACTTGCTGATCATTGGAATATTTAAATTTCTTGGGTCCATGCGTCTTGCTTCCCCTGCCCCCGTTATTTTCCCTCTGTACTAATTTCTCTGTGTTCTCGACCATGTCCTCGTAAAAACTATCAACGCAGAGCGGCATGTAATGTTGATACCAATCTCCCATATTTTGAATAAAATAAGTTTTCATATCTTTATTAATATGTAGCCTTTTCCTTTGAAAGTGGACTTGTTTTTTCCCCAGTGGTAATTCCACGTTCAAGGCAAAGTGGTCACAAAGTAGTTCCCGAACAACCCGAGCCTCCCCCATAATCCCCTGAGAGTTTAAAATACAGGCATAGTCAAGCCGTCCTCCCCTGATGTGAGTTGGTTCATTGTTTCCCAATAGACAGGTATCTGGATGTTCTTGTAGAAACTGTAACCACTTGACCCCATTAGTATTAATACTACCCACTGTCCCAAGGCTTGTGTGCCGAGCATTAAGGTCCCCAATGACCAGTGAAGGATTAGTATAAATGCAGTCAGGTAAATAGTTAGCGTCGAAGCAGTTCCTGGATACATACAAATTAACTACAATAAATTCCCCTTCCCTTAATGATAATTTAACACAGACACTCTCTATACCTTGTGTTTTTGATGGCGGTTCTACTAACTCTGCTGGTATGGAGTTCTTAACATAAATCGACGTGCCTCTGACGTTATTTGCGGCGAAGAGGTTAAACCCTTTATAGCCATTTAATTTCAATAATCCTTCATTCCTATCCCCTGTCTCTTGGAGAGCTACAACATCAATATCATTTCCCATCACATAACAATGAACATCTGTAACCCTGTTTCTTAAACCATTAACATTCCATGACAACACTTTCAGTCTAGGGTGATCCATTATTAATCAATTCACTGTTTAAGTCATCCTCAATAAGTTCACTAAATGATAGCCATACCTTGTATAACATCTCCCACCTCCTCCCAAGTTCACCAGTAAAAGCGACATTGCGATTCTCAAGAGATTTTTTCAGCCCTGTGACGTCCATTATTGGCCCAAATGATCCCTTCATTTTATGTTTAATTATAGGGTTCTTCCTTTCACTACGACTATCATCATTCACACACACTTCACTTTCCTTCATTTCATCACTCAATATTTCATTCTTGTCCTCAACCACTATATCCTGATTATCCTTCACCGTTTTGTGATTTTCCTTGACCTCCTGAACGTTCAATTTCGCCTCGATGGACTCGATTCTCTGCCCAAGATGTCGGAGTAACTCACCAACTTTTCTAAGTTCAGCCCACACTTCCTTGACCGTATCATTATGGCCCTCTTTCTGAGACACAGTAACCACTTCACTCACCGTTACACTGTCCCTGCCGGAGTCCTGAGTGGTGGCGTGGCTGCTTGTTGCTGGAGCCTGCCTAAGTAAAGGTGACTCCTTTACCCACGCATTCGTCCGGTTCACTGGCGCTGTTTGGGGCAGACTGTTTTGCTGTGCTCCCGGTGTCTGAGTAAGAGCTCTTGGCGTAAGACTAAGCTGGAAAAGTTTCAAAGGTTTGCCACCAGACTAGTACCCGAACTGAGGGGTATGAGCTACGAGGAGAGACTACGTAAATTATACCTCACGTCACTGGGAGACTGAAGAGTTAGAGGGGATATGGTCACCACATACAAGATTCTCAGAGGAATTGACAAGGGCAGATAAAGACAGACTATTTACCACAAGGGGCACACGCACTAGGGGACACAGGTGAAAATTTAGTGCCGAAATGAGCCATAGAGATATTTGAAAGACTTTTTTTCAGTGTCAGAGTAGTAAAGAAATGGAATGCATTAGAAATTAATGTGGTGGAGGCTGACTCCATACACAATTTCAAGTACAGATATGATAGAGCCCAGTAGGCTCAGGAACCTGTACACCAGTTGATTGACAGTTGAGAGGCGGTACCAAAGAGCCAGAGCTCAACCCCCGCAAGCACAACTAGGTAAGATAAGTACAATGTTGAGGATGGTGGTGATTCAACCAGCCTCGCACAGTGTTGAGGGTGGTAGTGAGTCAACCAGCCTCGCACAGTGTTGAGGGTGGTAGTGAGTCAACCAGCCTCGCACAGTGTTGAGGGTGGTAGTGAGTCAACCAGCCTCGCACAGTGTTGAGGGTGGTAGTGAGTCAACCAGCCTCGCACAGTGTTGAGGGTGGTAGTGAGTCAACCAGCCTCGCACAGTGTTGAGGGTGGTAGTGAGTCAACCAGCCTCGCACAGTGTTGAGGGTGGTAGTGAGTCAACCACCTTATAAAGTGTAGGAGGATGGTGGTTAGTTTTGGTTTGGTTAGGTTAGGTTAGGTTAGGTTAGGTTAGGTCAGTATAAAGTCTCCTGCAACATCATGACCAAACTCACCATGTGACTTCTGCACAAGGCCAATCCACAGTGGAAATTGCATATTCTTGGTTGTCATGGTGATGAGCTTCATCTCGTCTTCTGAATGGACTGATGCTAGGTTGGCAGCCTCCTGCAAGCATCTGTAGACAGGTACAATAATTACTTCTGGAATAATATTCATTTGTTACCGAAGAGTTCACTTTGCCTCACTTAAGTAACTACTTACTACTGCTACTTCACGAAAAGTATTTTACTACTGAAGTAATAGTACTTATAGGAGTATTGTTAGACACTATTAATATAAGTGGATATTAAACTATCTCTTTCGTGTTCTGGCCAGTTACTAGTTAATTAGTGAACTTTTCCAGCAGCATTAAAACCACTAGCCAGAGGCGTTTGGTAACGTTGTGGTTCCCTGTGTTTGAGGTTAATTATTCCGTATAAAGCAATAAAATTGCCCGGAGTTCACATAAGATCAACGTCTCCTTTCATTGTGTTATTATTTTATCTTTGTTAATTTCTTCTGTGGATTATTGTCTAGGTTATCACAGTGTTCTAAGAAATGAACTAATCTCGTGCTCTCTCATCAAGTCATATATAATGAAAGATTTTATCACCTCTAAGATGTGCAAAATGTAAGTGTAGCCAGTTACCATACTTACTCCATATCAGCATGAATATAGTACCTGGTGGAGGAGGATCAAGGAGCCTTATTTACTCCATATCAGCATGAATATAGTACCTGGTGGAGGAGGATCAAGGAGCCTTATTTACTCCATATCAACATGATTATAGTACCTGGTGGAGGAGGATCAAGGAGCCTTATTTACTCCATATCAGCATGATTATAGTACCTGATGGAGGAGGATCAAGGAGCCTTATTTACCCCATATCAGCATGATTATAGTACCTGATGGAGGAGGATCAAGGAGCCTTATTTTCTTCATATCAGCATGATTATAGTACCTGATGGAGGAGGATCAAGGAGCCTTATTTACTTCATATCAGCATGATTATAGTACCTGATGGAGGAGGAGGATCCCGGAGCCTTACTTACCCCATATTGGCATCACTCCAGGACTTGAGGTCCTTGATGAAGAGATAGCAGTAGCCGCCACCAAGGTCGAGCCAGCGGGAGTCAGGACAGCGGCCGGTGAGAGGCGGGTCTGGGGTCGGCACCGTCCCTGACACACTCAAACAATTACTAACAAATTTCCATCATTTTAAAGACTGTGAATAACCTTAGATAATCTAGCATTTAAATGAGCAACTTATTACGTGTTGAACATGCAATAAAGATACATTAATAATAATTAATTATTCACTGTGTCGCGGGACAGGAAGCCAGAGTGTATGCATACACGTTAGGCTTTTATCGAGCTCCCCCCCCCCCCCATCAAGGCCGAATTACTGACCCCGACCCGGATGCAACCTCACAAGAAGCTGACTAATTCCGGAGTTCCTACACACTGCTAGGTGAACAGTGGCATTGGGTAAAAGGAAATGTGCCCAACTATTTCTGTCCCGCCCGGGATACGAACCCGAAATTCTTGATTGTGTGTCGAGAACGAACCCGACTGCATTAGGCTTCTAAAATGTATTAATTAATGATTTTACACGTGAAAGTTCTTGGAGCATTTCCATAAAATGATGAACTAATAAGGTAAAGATGCTTGGAGACACAAGTGGCTGCTGGCCTGTGTGAGTGGCTGAGTCACGTCACTATATGTCCACACGATACACTGGTCACCTCGCGGAGACCATTTGACGGGAACTTCAGTGTCGTTGTGGACTTGAGCGTTATTGTTTCATAACTATGTGCTGGTAATATCACAAATACTTTTAAAGCAAAGGTATTGGAAGACATTTAGTGAGGAATATGACACCTGGTGCCAGGTTATCTTGAGGTTATCTTGAGATGATTTCGGGGCTTTTAGTGTCCCCGCGGCCCGGTCCTCGACCAGGCCTCCACCCCCAGGAAGCAGCCCGTGACAGCTGACTAACACCCAAGTACCTATTTACTGCTAGGTAACAGGGGCATTCAGGGTGAAAGAAACTTTGCCCATTTGTTTCTGCCTCGTGCGGGAATCGAACCCGCGCCACAGAATTACGAGTCCTGCGCGCTATCCACCAGGCTACGAGGCCCCCCCGAGGTCAGAAGACATTTAGTGAGGAATATGACGAGTAACCTCACTTAATTCATCACATTCTTAACAGGACTGATGGCAACATCAAAACTGCCGGGTTTTAGTCAAAATTAATCCACCGTAAAGTTGAAATTTGTAAAGCGTGTGCATGGATAGCTTAGGTGCTCACCTCTTACTATACACTTATACTTACTATTATACTTACACTTACTATACACTTATCAATACACTTAGTTGCGTAAGCTTAAGTGTGTCCAGGTAAACATTACATTTTTGACCGAGTGTAACATCGTGAGAACTTTGCACCAGTTCACAAACTTCGATAAAATTAATATTAGACATCAATGAATGTATATAATATTAATAATGCAGAGTATATCAATGTATTACAGTAATACTTATTATTTCAAGAAAGTAAAAACGAACGTAACATATTTCCGGAGAGGTAGTAATAACGCACTAGAGCAGAGGCCACACTATACACGAGTAACGTTTAAAAACGTTTTATCTATGTTACGTTAAAGTTGGAGCAACGTTACTTTAACGTTGGAGCAACATGGACGTTACTTCAGGTATGCAACGTTACTCTCTGATATTGTGCACACTGCCTTCTTGTTGTTGGACTGTTGACGTCACTAGACTGCTGACATCACCAGACTGCTGACATCACCAGACTGCTGACATCACCAGACTGCTGACATCACCAGACTGCTGACATCACCAGACTGCTGACATCACCAGACTGCTGACATCACCAGACTGCTGACATCACCAGACTGCTGACATCACCAGACTGCTGACATCACCAGACTGCTGACATCACCAGACTGCTGACATCACCAGACTGCTGACATCACCAGACTACTGACATCACCAGACTGCTGACATCACCAGACTGCTGACATCACCAGACTGCTGACATCACCAGACTACTGACATCACCAGACTGCTGACATCACCAGACTGCTGACATCACCAGACTGCTGACATCACCAGACTGCTGACATCACCAGACTGCTGACAACACCAGACTGCTGACATCACCAGACTGCTGACATCACCAGACTGCTGACAACACCAGACTGCTGACATCACCAGACTGCTGACATCACCAGACTACTGACATCACCAGACTGCTGACATCACCAGACTGCTGACATCACCAGACTGCTGACATCACCAGACTGCTGACATCACCAGACTGCTGACATCACCAGACTGCTGACATCACCAGACTGCTGACATCACCAGACTGCTGACAACACCAGACTGCTGACATCACCAGACTGCTGACATCACCAGACTGCTGACATCACCAGACTGCTGACATCACCAGACTGCTGACATCACCAGACTGCTGAGATCAACAACAACCTTCCTAGCTGGCTTGCATCACCTTCCTGGCTTGCATCACCTTCCTGGCTTGCATCACCTTCCTGGCTTGCATCACCTTCCTGGCTTGCATCACCTTCCTGGCTTGCATCACCTTTCTGGCTTGCATCACCTTCCTGGCTTGCATCACCTTCCTGGCTTGCATCACCTTCCTGGCTTGCATCACCTTCCTGGCTTGCATCACCTTCCTGGTTTGCATCACCTTCCTGGCTTGCATCACCTTCCTGGCTTGCATCACATTCCTGGCTTGCATCACCTTCCTGGCTTGCGTCACCTACCTGGCTTGCATCACCTTCCTGGCTTGCATCACCTTCCTGGCTTGCATCACCTTCCTTGCTTGCATCACCTTCCTGGCTTGCATCACCTTCCTTGCTTGCGTCCCCTGCCTGGCTTGCATCACCTTCCTGGCTTGCATTACCTTCCTGGCTTGCATCACCTTCCTGGCTTGCATCACCTTCCTGGCTTGCATCACCTTCCTGGCTTGCATCACCTTCCTGGCTTGCATCACCTTCCTGGCTTGCGTCACCTTCCTGGCTTGCGTCACCTTCCTGGCTTGCATCACCTTCCTGGCTTGCATCACCTTCCTTGCTTGCATCACCTTCCTGGCTTGCATCACCTTCATGGCTTGCATCACCTTCCTGGCTTGCGTCCCCTGCCTGGCTTGCATCACCTTCCTGGCTTGCATTACCTTCCTGGCTTGCATCACCTTCCTGGCTTGCATCACCTTCCTGGCTTGCGTCACCTTCCTGGCTTGCATCACCTTCCTGGCTTGCATCACCTTCCTGGCTTGCATCACCTTCCTTGCTTGCATCACCTTCCTGGCTTGCATCACCTTCCTGGCTTGCATCACCTTCCTGCCTTGCGTCCCCTGCCTGGCTTGCGTCCCCTGCCTGGCTTGCATCACCTTCCTGGCTTGCATCACCTTCCTGGCTTGCATCACCTTCCTGGCTTGCATCACCTTCCTGGCTTGCATCACCTTCCTGGCTTGCATCACCTTCCTGGCTTGCATCACCTTCCTGGCTTGCATCACCTTCCTGGCTTGCGTCACCTTCCTGGCTTGCATCACCTTCCTGGCTTGCATCACCTTCCTGGCTTGCATCACCTTCCTTGCTTGCATCACCTTCCTGGCTTGCATCACCTTCCTGACTTGCATCACCTTCCTGGCTTGCGTCCCCTGCCTGGCTTGCATCACCTTCCTGGCTTGCATCACCTTCCTGGCTTGCATCACCTTCCTGGCTTGCATCACCTTCCTGGCTTGCATCACCTTCCTGGCTTGCGTCACCTTCCTGGCTTGCGTCACCTTCCTGGCTTGCGTCACCTTCCTGGCTTGCATCACCTTCCTGGCTTGCATCACCTTCCTGGCTTGCGTCACCTTCCTGGCTTGCATCACCTTCCTGGCTTGCATCACCTTCCTGGCTTGCATCACCTTCCTGGCTTGCATCACCTTCCTGGCTTGCATCACCTTCCTGGCTTGCGTCACCTTCCTGGCTTGCATCACCTTCCTGGCTTGCATCACCTTCCTGGCTTGCATCACCTTCCTGGCTTGCGTCACCTTCCTGGCTTGCGTCACCTTCCTGGCTTGCGTCACCTTCCTGGCTTGCGTCACCTTCCTGGCTTGTGTCACCTTCCTGGCTTGCGTCACCTTCCTGGCTTGCGTCCCCTGCCTGGCTTGCGTCCCCTGCCTGGCTTGCGTCACCTTCCTGGCTTACGTTCCCTGCCTGGCTTGCGTCACCTTCCTGGCTTGCGTCCTCTACCTGACTTGCGTCACCTTCCTGGCTTGCGTCCCCTGCCTGGCCAGCGTCACCTTGCTGGTCAGCGTCACCTTGTTGGTCAGCGTCACCCTGTTGGTCAGCGTCACCTTGCTGGTCAGCGTCACTCTGCTGGTCAGCGCCACCCTGCTGGTCAGCGTCACCTTGCTGGTCAGCGTCACCCTGCTGGTCAGCGTCACCCTGCTGGTCAGCGTCACCTTGCTGGTCAGCGTCACCTTGCTGGTCAGCGTCACCCTGCTGGTCAGCGCCACCCTGCTGGTCAGCGTCACCTTGCTGGTCAGCGTCACCCTGCTGGTCAGCGTCACCCTGCTGGTCAGCGTCACCCTGCTGGTCAGCGTCACCCTGCTGGTCAGCGTCACCCTGTTGGTCAGCGTCACCTTGCTGGTCAGCGTCACCCTGCTGGTCAGCGTCACCCTGTTGGTCAGCGTCACCCTGCTGGTCAGCGTCACCGTGCTGGTCAGCGTCACCCTGCTGGTCAGCGTCACCCTGCTGGTCAGCGTCACCCTGCTGGTCAGCGTCACCCTGCTGGTCAGCGTCACCTTGCTGGTCAGCGTCATAAGAGAGTCTTGCGGCAACCAAGTCACTTGGGTTGCCGCAACAGACAGAATACGGGGTACTATAACGCATGAGCCTAACCAACCCACCTAACCTAACCTAGGCATAAAAAAAAGGAGTATGTTTGTGAGTCGCTTCTTTTCATAGTACCTCATTTTTTCTAAGTCAGGCACCACAACGTACAAAATTCTAAGTAATATTTGAGATGACGGGTTGGTCACTGTACCTCCATATGTACCTACCATTGTAAAATTTACAGATGAAAGGCCTGACACCGTCGCAGCTCTCAGCTGACCAGCGACCGTTGGCCGACTTGACCCTGACGCAGGCGCTGACAGACGCATTAGGCTGCCCGTTGTCCCAGTTGGAGTACATGGCCGGCCACCCGTCGCTCCACCGGTACACTTGCTCGTCCTGGAATTAATATAGTTTCTGCATTACATAATAAACCTTAAGTATCCACCAGTTAATTAAAGTTGCAGTAAGCTACGCGGTGTGAAATCACCCTAATTACTCACGAAGGTGTTATAGTAATAATAATTATTTATTAAAATATAGAGGATCAGATTACAGTGGTTAATTACGATGGCTACAGTATTTGTATATTTTATAAAGCCACTGATTATGTGCAGCGTTTCAGGGTTATACAGATATTCTACAATATTGTTCAAAAGTTGAGTCAGACTTTTGGAATGGCAATGGGGAATCCTTTATCGCCATTGCTTTCAAACTTGTACATGGAATTCTTCGAAAAGAAATTTGTTTCAAAATAACTCCTGGAATCATTCCATGGTTTAGATATGTTGATGATATTGTGTGTATATGGCCTTCAGATGTAAACACAGACGAATTTGTAGCCAAACTTAATGACCAAGTCACCTCTATAAAATTTACTATGGAGACTGAAATTGATAAATGTTTGCCATTCTTAGATGTTCTTATTCATAGGGAAGATTCTTCACTAAAGTTTAGTATTTACAGAAAACCTACGAATAATTTATCTTATGTTCATTATTTTTCAGGGTATAGATACAATGTGAAAAAGTCAATTTTTTCTTTAATGTATATAAGAGCTCTTCGTGTTGTGAGTCCAGAATTCTTAGACGAAGAGTTAAAGAATATTGATTTGATTGATCTCAAGCTTTGTTACCCACTGAATTTTTTGGAAGTTTGCCGTAGCAAAGCACGTCGTACATATTATATTAATATATGCAGAAACGCCCAAAGAATGTTTTATGTTTACCATATATCTCTGGGTTTGAGAATTTTGTCAAGGCCCTGAAACTTTTTAATATACATGTAATGTTTAGGTACGAAAATACTGTTGGTAAGCTATTAGTTAGAAACAGCCCTCGTAGTGATAATTGTGTCATTTATAAAAATACCTTGTAAAGACCGTAATAAGTTCTATGTTGGGCAAACATCTAAAGATTTGAAATGTAGAATTTCGCAACATAAATACTCTGTAAGACATGGCCAATTGTCTAATGCTTTGTTCATCTGTCAGAAGATGCTCACCAAATTGATTGGGAGATTCCTTCTTCAATAACGAATTGTAAAAGCACTTATAACAGAAACATAATTGAATCTGCTTTGATACAGATCACAAAAGAAAGTAATTTGAACATTAGCAGTGGTCTATATAACTTAGATCCATTTTTAATAGATCAATTAAAGGGCGATTTAAGTAGGATCATTGGAACACATTTGTCTCACTAATTCATTGTATATATTTACTATTTTATGCTATAATTATCTATGTGTGGGCCTGTGTGTGGTTGCTGCATCAGATGGGCCAATGGGCTGCATCAGATGGGCCAATAAGCCGTCTGCAGTGTCCACGTATTGTACCTCACCTCACTCCTCCATTTATTTTTAAACAACAGTCTAGTGTTTAAATTTAATAAAAAAGTGTTCACTAGGATTGAATATAATTTTCAATACTAGGAATATAGCTTAATACTCTATTCCTTAAACATAAATAGAACCACCTAACATTTGAGTTCATCTCCCCCGGGAGCGTCGTCACGGACAGAATAACAACAACGCTAGAATCCACCTGGAGCTGCCGTGAGGTGCAGACGTGTCGCCTGGCTTCTGGTAGTTGGGGTGTTTGCCATTTTGGTCGCCAGGTGGTGTGGGCGTCTCTGCCCCCCCCCCCAGTTTGTGTTGCTGCCTGGCTGCGTTTGACGAGGCAAGTTTGACATGGGAGGCCATCTTCCCATGTTATTCGGACATAGAGCTGGTTATGTGTGACATGCTTCGTATCCCAGTGGAGGCTATCTATGGTGTTGAGCTTGTTACAGCCCACCGGGTTGTTCTCAAGTTCGTGGGGGAGGAGGAGTACCGGGACTTCCTCCGTAGGTATGAGGGGTGCACGTTGTCGTTGCCGGGTGATGCCTGCTCTGTGGCGATCTCGGATCATAGTGGGGCCCTGACCTATGTCAGCGTCCATGGGGCGCCTCTGGAGTTTCCTGAAGACCTCCTACGGCGTTACTTCGGGAGGTTTGGTACTGTTGTCTGCGTGCGGGTGAACACGCTCTCCTCAGGGCGGTATGCTGGAAGGCGAACGAACATTCGCACGTTGGGAATGCGCCTGCGGTCGGATATACCTTCTTCTGTCCGGCTTATGGGATACTATGTCCGGGTGTATTATGCCTGGCAGCCTCGTCCCTGTTTCCGGTGTGGCCTGTTGGGGCATCAGCCTGCAGGGTGCTCTGAGGCCCCAGCTGCTCCTGTCAACTTGTTCCAGGAGGATTTCCCGCCGCTCCCACTGGAGGCCGTCTCCGGAGAGGTTGAGGTGCGCGTCCCGTTTGCTGCTGCAGCTCCCCCGGCGACGCCTGACGTTCCTCCGGTTGTTGCCGACCCTCCTCCGGGTATTGCAGTATCATCGGTTGGTCTGCCTGATCCTGTCACTGTCCAAGCTGCTCCCGTGGGCCTTCCTGGAGCTCCCTGTGTGGCGTCGCCGTCTTCTCCCTCGTCTTCTGATGCTGCGCCTGGCCCTGTGTCTGTGCCTCGGGTCCCGGATGTGCTGGGTGCTGGGGTGGCTGCGGAGCCTCCTGCTGTGTGTGGCCCGGTTCCCCCTGTGGTAGAGGCTGCTGCCGTTCTGTGTCGGGCGTCGGTTTGTCCGGCTCGTGGTGCCCGTGTTTCTGGGTCCACTTCCGGCCATGACGATATCCGGCCGGAGCCCAAACGTTCCCGACGTTCGTCTTTTGCCTGGGCCGATGTTGGTAACTTCAGTGACTGTGGGGCTTCGGGTGTTGACGGTGTGGATACGGATACGTCGATGTCTCCGCGGTTCGTGGTGGCGGAGGTCCATGTGCCTGTTGGTGCTGGTGCCTGTGTCTCGGACTTGCCTTCGGTTTTTTCTCCGCCAGGGGACTCTCCGCAGTGGGGAGGGTGGGGGGGTGGCTTCCGGTGCCAGGGATGGTGTGGACTCTGGTGCTGGGCGTGGCCTGGTAGTGACATTACAGACGGATGCACACCATCAGTGTTCCCTGCTGTCGTCTGGTGGTGTGCCCGTGGCCGCTGGTGCCCCTGTGGTGGTGCCCTGGGGCCTGTTCGCTCCTGTGAGGGTGCGCGTTGGGGCCCTGGGGGACGTGTTGCCGGCGTCTGTGATGCCACCGGGTCACTGGACGGAGATTGACGAGTTACTGCTGTCTGACGGGCCGGAGAACTTTCGTGGTGGGTAGGTTCCCTTCCTGTGGGGGCGAGTGGCGACTACTTGCCTCATGAGTACTACCATCTGGGTCCCCTGTTTGCGGGTGTTTGTTGCCCCGGTGGATGGGCGAGACCCTTGGCGGTGGATGCTCTGGGAAGCGTTCAATGTACGGTTCCCACGGGCCAGGTTCCCGGGCAAGTATGTACACTGATTTCCTGTGTATTTGCTCTAAGAAATGCTGTGTGCCCCTCTGGCTGTTTGTTTGCCCTGTTATATTATGTGCTTTTGCCTCTCCCTTTGTGCATTTCTTTGCCGTGTGGCATATTAGTTTCTAGTGCTTGGCGTCACTCGTTTCACGTTTTGGCTTGGCGTTTCGCCTTTCCTGGCTTCACGATTCACCCTTAACAAGTACGCCGGGGCGCATCAGATCCCACGATCGTCGTCGCCCCTAACTCAACAACAACAAAGCTCGACACGCTGTAGAGTGGCGCTCTCCATATGAGCTGATTTAACTCGTTAGACACCCAGACTACGTGTCAACAAGTGAGCAACCAGCAAAGCGGCCTCTCAACAACCACAGCAACACCAGTATCCGTCTTACCAAGTATTTTTGTTTAAGTTTGGCCATATTTATTCATAAATAGGTAGGCGGTTATAATGTATGATTAAACCCCCAACCAAGTACGTTTACTCAGCTCAACACACTCATATTCCATGTCATACCTGTACTTATATGTTTAGGGAAACATTATTAATTCTTTAAACTCGGCAGGTAATTGTGATTTGGAGTTACAAGAGGCTGAGCAGACAGTTGGCCCTCAATATAAGAAAATTACCTAGCTGTACACCAAGCTTTGTAGGCCTCCAGACAGCCGCCATTACGTGGCACTCAGAGGCACAGAGCCACACCCAATTTTGATGCTACAATTACACAGCTTTAGCAGGCCCCATCAACAGGAACAGCTAAGCCCCTTTTTTGTACAATACTGTAGACATAGTATTAGTAATTATAAATTCACTATTGCTATAATAATAGTAGATTAGACCCCCATATGTGGTATGATTTATAATTTATATATTGAAGATTAGGTAAACAATTCGTGGTTTACGAAAGAGCCATCTCAAAGTGGTTTAAGCTGCAAATTGTCCCCCCAATTATGTGAAATAAATTCAGACAGCTGAATCAGTACATACAGTCCACTCACTTACTTACTTTATTACTTACTTGCTTAATTAAGTAATTTATTACTAAGAACTAAGAAAATAATCAAATAAAATTATCATATTAAAGTCAATTAAAAAATAAGTAAAAATATTTAGTATTTACCGAATTAAAAAAGAATTAAGCTGCTAGGATTTTTCCACACCAAGCATACATGCGAATGAAAACTCCATACTCCAGAAGTGACTCGAACCCAGACCGCCAGGAGCACACTGCAACTGGTGTACATGGTACCTTAACCAATCGACCATCAGTGACCGTACAAAAGACGATGGTAGCCGAGGCTATTTCACCGTCCTGACGGCACTTTGATGGTAATCTTGGGCATCGTTATTTCATCAAATCACGTCACTTTGTGGGACCACGTGAGCAACACAAATGTGAACAAGCTTGAATGGTCCCCAAGCATATATGCGAATGAAAACTCCACACCCCAGAAGTGACACGAACCCAGACCGCCAGGAGCACAATTTAACTGGTGTACATGGTACCTTAACCTCTCGACCATCAGTGACCGTACAGAAGACGATGGCCAAAATTTATTTATTTATTTGTTATTTATAAATATAATGCTGGACTGAAATATGACAAGAGGACACACAAGTTTTTGCTCATTGAAACTTGAATCAATAACAAGGTGGACTCAAACAAAAGTACAGTACCTGTAAATTATTGAAACCGATCCATGCGTCATCAACAGAGATCTCTTGAGCCAGGACCCACATGAAGGCGTCCTCAGCGAGGTCATGGACTGAGGCCAAGTGAGCTCCTTCACTCACACAAGTCGACTCTGCTTCCTGAAACACATTAGATATAGAAATATTTGATTTAGAATTATTATTAATATTAGTACAATTTTATGTTAGACATCAGCCGTCTCTGTTCGAGTTCGCTATATAGTCGTGATGGCTTGGAGCTTTTCCCCTGATAGTTCCCTTTCCTTCATCCCACAGTGTACATTTTACTCGTTAGAAAAGGGATGTTTAACGTTCTCTCCAATTAATGGCATTTTTTCTCGAAACTGTAACATCACCAAATTCCTATGTAAATGTTTCATTACATATAATGTATGTGTTTGCTGTTCACTACAATGTGTAAAAGATTTACCTGCTGTTCCTGTCACCATCAACTTCTTCTCAAAGCACCAATGTCATATGTCTACCTTTTATTGGTGTATAAGGAACAATGTCTACCTTTTTATTGGTGTATAAGGAACAATGTCTACCTTTTTATTGGTGTATAAGGAAGAACTTCAAGATCACTAAGATGAAATAGTTCATAAATATGCCCAGGATAGCACATACGACAGCCGATGGTATAGCAGGAACGGATGGACAAACACGCTTGGTTATAATACAACAATCACTTGTTTTGAGATCAAATATTGGAAGTCTTGCCAGTCCCACCCAAAGTATATCTATAGTTGTGGATTATGTCATAGATATTATTTAAGACATGGCTCAGAGAAAGTATTCGGAGGTTGAAATATGGGTTGGATTTCAAACCTGCTAAGACCCCTGACATAAACTCCTCAGGAACCTATGGGGGCCACAGGACTAACAACACTGCAAACCAGGCTGGACGGCGGATCTTATTAAAACCTTTAAAAGCTTCACAAGTTGGAGGATATTGATCCAGACCACTTCTTTAAAAGGTCAAATGTAACACCCACAAGGGACAACAGCTTCAAGTTCTTCAAGACACAATGTAGGACAGAAACAGATGTTTTTGTTTTCACCCATAGGGAATAAACCCATGGAACCGCCTAACCGCCGAAGCCGTTAATGCCAACACATTACTTCAGTTCCAAATAAAGTTGGAAGAAATCCTCGGGAACAAGGGGGGGGGGAGAGACTGGCAAGAATGTGAAATCAAAATGCTCTTTTAAAAATATGAAAACCAGCCATGTAAATGTAACAAATACTGAATGGCGATGCATAAACAAATATTAACGTGAAGTATCAATGGAAAATCAACAGGAGCCGTGAGGAGGCTTTGAACGTGTACTCTGGGTACTCCCAAGCACACGCCTTAAACCACTACACCACGACATAGTCGAAAACATTGCAACCTGGGATTCAACTGAATCATCGAGGGTTCTTCGAGGCTTCCAATGAAGCCTAATCAGCGTTTCATCTCATTAATCAGGTGAAATAAGGGTTTATGTGATATCTTTGTGAATTTGAAGAGAAGCGAAGGAGGTAGAATTCCTGGACTACATGCAAGAGTGGATGGCTACAAGCAACATGGAAGGTCATTGTGTGAAACCCTGATTAGTCTTCAGTGGAAGTTTGTAGGTTTTCTGGAAGATTATTTTGACTCCCACGTTGCAATGCTTTTAATAATGTCGCGATGTATTGGTCGAAGGCGTTTGCTTAGGATTCGAACCCAGAGGATAGGCTAGACTCTTCATAGCACCTACTGATATTCTCACAATATGTTGATATATATAGTGCTTCGAATTTGAAACACATATTTATTGCATTTATAAAATATTAAATATACGAAATAACAAGAATGTTAAATTTAACACTCTCTATGGAACACCAGAGTCAAGTTAGGGAAACATAGCAAATGTATTCATTGTGTTGATCTTGTGGTTACAAAACTCCCAACTTGTAGCCCTGTTTTAATTATTTTAAATTTATAATAATCAAAACATCATATTTGTGCATCTTCTTAAGACAGAAAATGGAGAAAGTACCCACCTGCCAGGACTTAGTAACGTTGGAGGGTCTGTAGCAGCCGTCGTTGTAGGCGATGTACTGGTCGTAGGGGGCGGAGCAGGCCGGGGGCGGGTGGTGGTCATCCAGGCTCGGGTCTGTTAAGAGAACTTCGTCATTCTCTTCAACTATGGCTCTTCATTCATTATTGTAAATGTTATCATCTGCTGAAGAGGCAACTACCATAGAACAACTGTGGCTCTTCATTCATTATTGTAAATGCTATCATCTGCTGAAGAGACAACTACCATAGAATTTGTAAAACTTGAATATTACTGTAGAAACTGGTGTTGTTGTTTTAGAATCAGCTTCTTGGAACAAAAAGTTGCAAGTAGCACGGTCTATAGTGAGCCCGAAGTGGACTTGCTGAATAACAGATTGCACGTGGAACAACACTTATTTACACGACTTTACCTGAGGGCCACTATCTCTCTAGTGGCTTCAACGAGGACGGGAAGCCGGCGGTTTGTCAAAGTTCCTCACATTTGTCCTGATGATTGCATCATATATATCATAAAGTGATGCTTCACCTAGTTAAATGACAACAAGATTTACATTCCAATGTTGGTCTGGATATCTCGCACATCAATACTTTCTTGTAAGTCGTGAAGTTGACAGATTAAACTTACTAAAGCAACAGGAAACATGTGATCAATTGAGATCACTTGATCGACATGAATCAATTGAGAAAGTTCCAACAGAGTATGGCAGTTCGCATTACATTAGTGAGCACACGTGCACAGCAACATGGAAGGTCATTATTTGGGTTACATTAGTGAGCACACGTGCACAGCAACAAGGAAAGTCATAGCTTCAGCTACTTTAGAGAAAACGTGTGCGTTTTATTGAGAAAAAGTTGATTCACCAAAGAAACCGGTTTCTGCCATAGTTAATGGCAGGAGTAACTATTATTCCCGGTCAATATACACCCAATAACGTTGCTGTATCTTGGCTGGGATGAGCATAGACGAGGAGAAACCATTCTAATTCTCAGCTAATGCCTGTAACGACACGTTTCCTACAGCGATAAGACGTGTACAAGAAATAAATACAATGACGTTAAATGTATGATACATATTAGAGACCTACCTTGCTTCATCATGCAGACATAACCATAGAGGTCGGAGCAGGAGACATCATTCCAGCGGCCTGTTGCAGGGGAGACGTCAACACACAGGTTCTGCAACATAGGCAGGATCAGTGAAAGTCGCCTTCGTCTTCTGCTATATTACAGCCACAACAATAATGATGAGGTGACCTCTAGGAGAGCCTCTCAGGAGGTCAAGGAGAGTCTCTCAGGAGCTCAAGGAGAGTCTCCCAGGAGCTCAAAGAGAGTCTTCCACGAGCTGAAGGAGCTTGAAACCCTAATTTGCATTTAAATGTAAATGACTTTTATAAATCACAAAACAAAGTACATTTGAAGCGACAGATGAAGGTGTGGTCAATAATGAAGACGTGTAATGTCCCTCTGAGTGGTCATTACACTCACTCTTCGCATGTATTAACCCGTCATATTGTAGACACTAAACCCACAGTTCTGAAACTGAAAGAATAGTCGACGTCTCGGGTCGTCCCGGACCATAATCGAAGCGGGTAAGCTTTACTACCACCCAGATTACACCACTAATCGTATAATCAAGTCGTGATTTAACTTTTGTTTAGGCGCCGGGCGACGTGATCAATCAGGTCGTTGTGGCAGAGCTGTTGCGTCTCCCGGGCTGGTGATCACCCGTCAAGCAAGGGGTGAATGGCATCTCCTCTCACCCCTTGATAATGGTCCAGGACGGGCCAAGCGGGTGACAATTTTTACATATAAAAAACAATATCCTTGTGGAACAATATTCTAAAGCAGACAGAAGGAGGGAATAATATATATATATATATATATATATATATATATATATATATATATATATATATATATATATATATATATATATATATATTTTTTTTTTTTTTTTTTTTTTTTTTTTTTTTTCGAGACAATATGATACGAAATGAGGATGGTGGTCGACTCACCCAGTCTGGTCCTCCGTTGGGTTCCCCCGAGGCCCAGTTGGTGTAGGAGACGGAGGTCTGGTCCACCCATATGAACTCTCCCATGTACTGCATCCCCAGCCACACCTCCTGCTGCTCGACCCCCACCAGCGCCGTCAGGTAGGCTGTCGAACCAGGCACACATTACTCTCTGTATGCTTTATGTTAAGGTGTGTGGTGTGTCAGTATGTGTTTGCTGTGTGTAAGTATGTGTGATGTGTGTCAGTATGTGTGTGGTGTGTCAGTATGTGTGGGTGTGTCAGTATGTGTGTGGTGTGTGTCAGTATGTGTGGTGTGTGTCAGTATGTGTGTGTGTGTGTGGTGTGTGTCAGTATGTGTGGTGTGTCAGTATGTGTGGTGTGTGTGTCAGTATGTGTGGTGTGTGTGTCAGTATGTGTGGTGTGTCAGTATGTGTGGTGTGTGTCAGTATGTGTGGTGTGTCAGTATGTGTGGTGTGTGTCAGTATGTGTGGTGTGTCAGTATGTGTGGTGTGTGTCAGTATGTGTGGTGAGTCAGTATGTGTGGTGTGTGTCAGTATGTGTGGTGTGTGTCAGCATGTGTGTGTGTGGTGTGTCAGTATGTGTGGTGTGTGTGTCAGTATGTGTGGTGTGTCAGTATGTGTGTGTGTGTGTGTCAGTATGTGTGGTGTGTGTCAGTATGTGTGTGGTGTGTGTCAGTGTGTGGTGTGTCAGTATGTGTGGTGTGTCAGTATGTGTGTGGTGTGTCAGTATGTGTGGTGTGTGTCAGTATGTGTGGTGTGTGTCAGTATGTGTGGTGTGTCAGTATGTGTGGTGTGTGTCAGTATGTGTGGTGTGTCAGTATGTGTGGTGTGTGTCAGTATGTGTGGTGTGTCAGTATGTGTGGTGTGTGTCAGTATGTGTGGTGTGTGTCAGCATGTGTGTGTGTGGTGTGTCAGTATGTGTGGTGTGTCAGTATGTGTGTGGTGTGTGTCAGTATGTGTGGTGTGTCAGTATGTGTGGTGTGTCAGTATGTGTGGTGTGTCAGTATGTGTGGTGTGTGTCAGTATGTGTGGTGTGTCAGTATGTGTGGTGTGTGTCAGTATGTGTGGTGAGTCAGTATGTGTGGTGTGTGTCAGTATGTGTGGTGTGTGTCAGCATGTGTGTGTGGTGTGTGTCAGTTTGTTTGGTGTGTGTCAGTATGTGTGGTGTGTCAGTATGTGTGTGTGTGTGTCAGTATGTGTGTGTGTGTCAGTATGTGTGGTGTGTGTCAGTATGTGTGGTGTGTGTCAGTATGTGTGGTGTGTCAGTATGTGTGGTGTGTGTCAGTATGTGTGGTGTGTCAGTATGTGTGGTGTGTGTCAGTATGTGTGGTGTGTCAGTATGTGTGGTGTGTCAGTATGTGTGGTGTGTGTCTGTATGTGTGGTGTGTGTCAGCATGTGTGTGTGGTGTGTGTCAGTATGTGTGTGGTGTGTGTCAGTATGTGTGGTGTGTCAGTATGTGTGGTGTGTGTCAGTATGTGTGTGGTGTGTCAGTATGTGTGGTGTGTGTCAGTATGTGTGGTGTGTCAGTATGTGTGGTGTGTGTCAGTATGTGTGGTGTGTCAGTATGTGTGGTGTGTGTCAGTATGTGTGGTGTGTCAGTATGTGTGGTGTGTGTCAGTATGTGTGGTGTGTCAGTATGTGTGGTGTGTGTCAGTATGTGTGTGGTGTGTCAGTATGTGCGGTGTGCGTCAGTGTGTGTGGTGTGTGTCAGTATGTGTGTGGTGTGTGTCAGTATGTGTGTGTGGTGTGTCAGTATGTGTGTGGTGTGTGTCAGTATGTGTGTGGTGTGTGTCAGTATGTGTGTGGTGTGTCAGTATGTGTGTGGTGTGTCAGTATGTGTGTGGTGTGTGTCAGTATGTGTGTGGTGTGTGTCAGTATGTGTGGTGTGTCAGTATGTGTGGTGTGTGTCAGTATGTGTGTGGTGTGTCAGTATGTGTGGTGTGTGTCAGTATGTGTGTGGTGTGTCAGTATGTGTGGTGTGTGTCAGTATGTGTGTGGTGTGTGTCAGTATGTGTGTGGTGTGTCAGTATGTGTGTGTCAGTATGTGTGTGGTGTGTGTCAGTATGTGTGTGTGGTGTGTCAGTATGTGTGTGGTGTGTGTCAGTATGTGTGTATGTGGTGTGTGTCAGTATGTGTGTGGTGTGTCAGTATGTGTGTGGTGTGTCAGTATGTGTGTGGTGTGTGTCAGTATGTGTGTGGTGTGTGTCAGTATGTGTGTGGTGTATCAGTATGTGCGTGGTGTGTGAGTATGTGTTTACACTCACACTCACCCTAAGTGTGGGTGTAAACACAAGGTCTGGGAATAAGACACACTCACCCTGAGTGTGGGTGTAAACACCAGGGCTGGGAATAAGACACACTCACCCTGAGTGTGAGTGTAAACACAAGGCCTGGGAATAAGACACACTCACCCTGCTCTGCTGCTGAGTGTATACTCGCCAAGTTAGCATCATAACCCAGGTTCCTACAGGCCGAGCGGGCTGACGTGAAGTTCATCTTCTCGCTGAAGGCCAGGATGCACTTGGTACCTGTGAGTGTAAACATGTATTGTTGTTCATTACTGTGGGAGAACAACCTTGGGAGTAATTATTGTTGTTTATTAGTGTGGGAGAACAACCTTGGGAGTAATTACTGTTGTTTATTACTGTGGGAGAACAACCTTGGGAGTAATTACTGTTGTTTATTACTGTGGGAGAACAACCTTGGGAGTAATTACTGTTGTTTATTACTGTGGGAGAACAACCTTGGGAGTAATTACTGTTGTTTATTACTGTGGGAGAACAACCTTGGGAGTAATTACTGTTGTTTATTACTGTGGGAGAACAACCTTGGGAGTACTTACAATACATCAAGTGTTGTGAAGGGCCAAGTTCAACAAAGGAGGATTTACTTTAACAAAAATGAAGATCTAAATAAGATTATATGAAGAGTTATTGTGAGTTGTGAGTGGGAAGGCTTAAAAAGGTCAGGGCAGAAGACGTGTCTCTGCGGCCTGGTGCTTAAGGCAGTCTCTGCAGCCTGGTGCTTAAGGCAGTCTCTGCAGCCTGGTGCTTAAGGCAGTCTCTGCAGCCTGGTGCTTAAGGCAGTCTCTGTAGCCTGAGGCAGTCTCTGCAGCCTGGTGCTTAAGGCAGTGTCTGTAGCCTGGTGCTTAAGGCGTCTCTGTAGCTTGGTGCTTAAGGCAGTGTCTGCAGCCTGGTGCTTAAGGCAGTCTCTGCAGCCTGGTGCTTAAGGCAGTGTCTGTAGCTTGGTGCTTAAGGCAGTCTCTGCAGCCTGGTGCTTAAGGCAGTCTCTGCAGCTTGGTGCTTAAGGCAGTCTCTGGAGCCTGGTGCTTAAGGCAGTCTCTGGAGCCTGGTGCTTAAGGCAGTGTCTGCAGCCTGGTGCTTAAGGCAGTCTCTGTAGCCTGGTGCTTAAGGCAGTGTCTGCAGCCTGGTGCTTAAGGCAGTCTCTGTAGCCTGGTGCTTAAGGCAGTCTCTGTAGCCTGGTGCTTAAGGCAGTCTCTGTAGCCTGGTGCTTAAGGCAGTCTCTGTAGCCTGGTGCTTAAGGCAGTCTCTGCAGCCTGGTGCTTAAGGCAGTCTCTGTAGCCTGGTGCTTAAGGCAGTCCCTGTAGCCTGGTGCTTAAGGCAGTCACTGTAGCCTGGTGCTTAAGGCAGTCCCTGTAGCCTGGTGCTTAAGGCAGTCCCTGTAGCCTGGTGTTTAAGGCAGTCTCTGCAGCCTGGTGCTTAAGGCAGTCTCTGCAGCCTGGTGCTTAAGGCAGTCTCTGTAGCCTGGTGCTTAAGGCAGTCTCTGCAGCCTGGTGCTTAAGGCAGTCTCTGCAGCCTGGTGATGTGTTCTCCAAAATTTGTAATATTGCAGGTAAATGATTGCAACTACAAATTAAGAACAGACTCGCGATAACAACTTCTGTACTGTTCTATCCGTATCTCTGAAATAGACTCTGTGTTTGTTTGTGTCTGAAGTAGGTCAGACGCCTGGGGGAGCCACACACAATTTTCACATGAAAGTGAAAGTATTACCTAACATGAAAGTATAAATTACCTAAATATATGTTTGCATGAACACACATTGATAGGCAAAGAGCTGCAAAGCTGCAATACAGGTTGAGCAGCTGGAAGCTGCAACACAGGTGGAGCAGCGGTGGTGGAGGGAGAACTTACCGGCGTGGAGCCAGCCTTGTGGACAATGGCCGTCTGGAGCCTTAGTGGTGACTGGGGGAGGGAAGGTCTGGCCGTGGAGGCGCTTACAGATGCGGCCCAGAGTGTGAGCACAGTTGTAGTCATTCCAGTACCCTTGTTTGTGGTTGTACATGCTCAAACAGTCTTCTTGGTCTGGAAAGACAAGTGTGAAGTTATCATAATGTTGACTTATCAACATTGATGCGAGAGTTGAGAGTTTTAGCTCAAGTTCACTCTCCTACTAGCTTGTGTCATCACTCTCCTACTAGCTTGTGTCATCACTCTCCTACTAGCTTGTGTCATCACTCTCCTACTAGCTTGTGTCATCACTCACCTACTAGCTTGTGTCATCACTCTCCTACTAGCTTGTGTCATCACTCTCCTACTAGCTTGTGTCATCACTCTCCTACTAGCTTGTGTCATCACTCACCTACTAGCTTGTGTCATCACTCTCCTACTAGCTTGTGTCATCACTCACCTACTAGCTTGTGTCATCACTCTCTTACTAGCTTGTGTCATCACTCTCCTACTAGCTTGTGTCATCACTCTCTTACTAGGTTGTGTCATCACTCTCCTACTAGCTTGTGTCATCACTCTCCTACTAGCTTGTGTCATCACTCTCCTACTAGCTTGTGTCATCACACTCCTACTAGCTTGTGTCATCACTCTCCTACTAGCTTGTGTCATCACTCTCCTACTAGCTTGTGTCATCACTCTCCTACTAGCTTGTGTCATCACTCTCCTACTAGCTTGTGTCATCACTCTCCTACTAGCTTGTGTCATCACTCTCCTACTAGCTTGTGTCATCACTCACCTACTAGCTTGTGTCATCACTCTCCTACTAGCTTGTGTCATCACTCTCCTACTAGCTTGTGTCATCACTCTCCTACTAGCTTGTGTCATCACTCACCTACTAGCTTGTGTCATCACTCTCCTACTAGCTTGTGTCATCACTCTCCTACTAGCTTGTGTCATCACTCTCTTACTAGCTTGTGTCATCACTCTCCTACTAGCTTGTGTCATCACTCTCCTACTAGCTTGTGTCATCACTCTCCTACTAGCTTGTGTCATCACTCTCTTACTAGCTTGTGTCACTAGCTTGTGTCATCACTCTCCTACTAGCTTGTGTCATCACTCTCCTACTAGCTTGTGTCATCACTCTCCTACTAGCTTGTGTCATCACTCTCCTACTAGCTTGTGTCATCACTCTCCTACTAGCTTGTGTCATCACTCTCCTACTAGCTTGTGTCATCACTCTCCTACTAGCTTGTGTCATCACTCTCCTACTAGCTTGTGTCATCACTCTCCTACTAGCTTGTGTCATCACTCTCCTACTAGCTTGTGTCATCACTCTCCTACTAGCTTGTGTCATCACTCTCCTACTAGCTTGTGTCATCACTCTCCTACTAGCTTGTGTCATCACTCTCCTACTAGCTTGTGTCATCACTCTCCTACTAGCTTGTGTCATCACTCTCCTACTAGCTTGTGTCATCACTCTCTTACTAGCTTGTGTCATCACTCTCCTAGCTTGTGTCATCACTCTCTTACTAGCTTGTGTCATCACTCTCCTACTAGCTTGTGTCATCACTCTCCTACTAGCTTGTGTCATCACTCTCCTACTAGCTTGTGTCATCACTCTCCTACTAGCTTGTGTCATCACTCTCCTACTAGCTTGTGTCATCACTCTCCTACTAGCTTGTGTCATCACTCTCCTACTAGCTTGTGTCATCACTCTCCTACAAGCTTGTGTCATCACTCTTATACTAGCTTGTGTCATCACTCACCTACTAGCTTGTGTCATCACTCACTAGCTTGTGTCATCACTGTCCTACTAGCTTGTGTCATCACTCTCCTACTAGCATGTGTCATCACTCTCCTACTAGCATGTGTCATCACTCTCCTACTAGCATGTGTCATCACTCACCTACTAGCTTGAGTCATCACTCTCCTACTTGTTTGTGTCATCACTCTCCTACTAGCATGTGTCATCACTCTCCTACTTGCTTGTGTCATCACTTTCCTACTAGCATGTGTCATCACTCTCCTACTAGCATGTGTCATCACTCTCCTACTAGCATGTGTCATCACTCTCCTACTAGCTTGTGTCATCACTCTCCTACTAGCTTGTGTCATCACTCACCTACTAGCTTGTGTCATCACTCTCCTACTAGCTTGTGTCATCACTCTCCTACTAGCTTGTGTCATCACTCTCCTACTAGCTTGTGTCATCACTCTCCTACTAGCTTGTGTCATCACTCACCTACTAGCTTGTGTCATCACTCACCTACTAGCTTGTGTCATCACTCTCCTACTAGCTTGTGTCATCACTCTCCTACTAGCTTGTGTCATCACTCTCCTACTAGCTTGTGTCATCACTCTCCTACTAGCTTGTGTCATCACTCTCCTACTAGCTTGTGTCATCACTCACCTACTAGCTTGTGTCATTACTCACTAGCTTGTGTCATCACTCTCTTACTAGCTTGTGTCATCACTCTCTTACTAGGTTGTGTCATCACTCACCTACTAGCTTGTGTCATCACTCTCTTACTAGGTTGTGTCATCACTCTCCTACTAGCTTGTGTCATCACTCTCTTACTAGCTTGTGTCATCACTCACCTACTAGCTTGTGTCATCACTCTCCTACTAGCTTGTGTCATCACTCTCTTACTAGGTTGTGTCATCACTCACCTACTAGCTTGTGTCATCACTCTCTTACTAGCTTGTGTCATCACTCACCTACTAGCTTGTGTCATCACTCTCTTACTAGGTTGTGTCATCACTCTCCTACTAGCTTGTGCCATCACTCTCCTACTAGCTTGTGTCATCACTCTCTTACTAGCTTGTGTCATCACTCTCCTACTAGCTTGTGTCATCACTCTCTTACTAGCTTGTGTCATCACTCTCCTACTAGCTTGTGTCATCACTCTCCTACTAGCTTGTGTCATCACTCACCTACTAGCTTGTGTCATCACTCTCTTACTAGCTTGTATCATCACTCACCTACTAGCTTCTGTCATCACTCTCCTACTAGCTTCTGTCATCACTCTCCTACTAGCTTGTGTCATCACTCTCCTACTAGCTTGTGTCATCACTCTCTTACTAGCTTGTGTCATCACTCTCCTACTAGCTTGTGTCATCACTCTCTTACTAGCTTGTGTCATCACTCTCTTACTAGCTTGTGTCATCACTCTCCTACTAGCTTGTGTCATCACTCTCTTACTAGCTTGTGTCATCACTCTCTTACTAGCTTGTGTCATCACTCTCCTACTAGCTTGTGTCATCACTCTCCTACTAGCTTGTGTCATCACTCACCTACTAGCTTGTGTCATCACTCTCCTACTAGCTTGTGTCATCACTCTCCTACTAGCTTGTGTCATCACTCTCCTACTAGCTTGTGTCATCACTCTCCTACTAGCTTGTGTCATCACTCTCCTACTAGCATGTGTCATCACTCTCCTACTAGCTTGTGTCATCACTCACCTACTAGCTTGTGTCATCACTCACCTACTAGCTTGTGTCATCACTCACCTACTAGCATGTGTCATCACTCACCTACCTAATTGTGCTTGCGGGGGTTGAGCTTTGGCTCTTTGGTCCCGCCTCTCAACTGTCAATCAACTGGTGTACAGATTCCTGAGCCTACTGGGCTCTATCATATCTACATTTGAAACTGTGTATGGAGTCAGCCTCCACCACATCACTTCCTAATGCATTCCATTTATTAACTACTCTGACACTGAAAAAAATCTTTCTAACGTCTCTGTGGCTCATCTGGGTACTAAGTTTCCACCTGTGTCCCCTTGTTCGTGTCCCACCCGTGCTGAAGAGTTTGTCTTTGTCCACCCTGTCAATTCCCCTGAGAATTTTGTAGGTGGTTATCATGTCTCCCCTTACTCTTCTGTTTTCCAGGGATGTGAGGTTCAGCTCCTTTAGCCTTTCCTCGTAGCTCAATCCTCTCAGTTCCGGGACGAGCCTGGTGGCATACCGCTGAATCTTCTCTAACTTTGTCTTGTGTTTAACTAGGTATGGACTCCAGGCTGGAGCTGCATACTCCAGGATTGGTCTTACATAAGTGGTATACAGGGTTCTGAAAGATTCCTTACACAAGTTTCTGAAGGCAGTTCTTATGTTGGCCAGTCTAGCATATGCCGCTGATGATATTCTTTTGATGTGGGCCTCTGGAGACAGGTTCGGTGTGATATCAACCCCCAGATCCTTCTCTCTATTTGATTCTTGCAGGATTTCCCCTCCCAGATGATACCTTGTGTTCAGCCTCCTGCTCCCTTCGCCTAATTTCATGACCTTACACTTTCCAGAGTTGAACTTCAGCAGCCATTTTCTAGACCATTCCTCCAGTTTATCCAGGTCATCCTTTAGTCTCTGTCTATCTTCATCCGTCTTGATTCTTCTCATAATTTTTGCATCATCAGCAAACATCGAGAGGAATGAGTCTATACCCTCTGGAAGATCGTTCACATATATTAGAAACAGGATGGGTCCAGGTACTGAGCCCTGTGGGACTCCGCTGGTGACATCTCGCCACTCTGATGTCTCCCCCTCACCGTTACTCGCTGTTTCCTGTTGCTTAAGTACTCCCTTATCCACTGGAGCACCTTCCCTTTTACTCCTGCCTGTTGCTCCAACTTTTTTAACAGCCTTTTATGGGGTACTGTGTCAAAGGCTTTTTGGCAATCCAGGAAAATGCAGTCGGCCCACCCTTCTCTTTCCTGCCTAATTTTCGTTGCCTGGTCATAAAATTCTATTAAACCTGTGAGGCACGATTTACCATCTCTGAACCCATGTTGGTGGTGCGTTACAAAGTTATTTCCCTCCAGATGCTCTACGAGCCTTTTCCTCAAGATCTTCTCCAGCACCTTGCATGGTATACAAGTTAAGGAAACTGGCCTGTAATTCAGTGCCTCTTGCCTGTCACCCTTCTTGTATATTGGGACCACGTTAGCTGTCTTCCAACTTTCTGGTAAGTCTCCTGTTTCCAGTGACCTGTTATACACCATAGAGAGTGGCACACTTAGTGCTTCTGCACCTTCCTTTAGTATCCATGGTGAGATTCTATCAGGCCCAACAGCCTTTGTCACATCTAGCTCCAGCAGACACCTTTTGACCTCATCACTGGTGAGGTCAAATTCCTCCAA